TTGCACATTACCACCCTGAGTGATGACTGAATGATAAGGCCAACCTATGGCTTCTTCCTGTATCAATCTATGCAGTTCAGAAACATAATCAGAGCAAGCGGTGCTGACCAAGCCTCTTCATACTCTAACCACTGTCTCACCTGATTAATGGCTTTTTGACTGAAAAGCAACGTTATTTTGTAAGAAGAGTACCAGCATTGTGATGTGAACTTCTTGAATTTTCCTGGGGAATAAGAAAGATTTATTAGATATTTTCTACAAAAATAATAGCTGTGACTTTCTTGTGTGCAAGTGTTACCAGCTATGGCTACTACTGTCATTCAATTATTCATTACAGCCTTTGGTTCTGTCTATGGAGTGCTATCAGGAAAACAGGGAGAATGTTTTGTCTGTTTCTTATTAAATCTTCTGTTTGAAAATGTCATATGATTCAAGACATCATGTCTTTGAAGGCTTCCTGCAAATCATACCTTCACTAGAGTCTCTTGGCTGCAGCTTTATTGTAGAAATTCCACATTACAATCAAATGCCTTTCCACAGTATATTTACCATGATAGGAACAGGGCAGTTATTCTTGACAGATATGAATCTCTCTAAAGACATCTATCTGTAAAACTGAGCATCTCTACCACAATTTTACTTTCTTAGAGACTCCTCAACAGAACAGTTTGCTGAACTGTTATGGATCATGAGCACTTTCGTACTTTTGCTTCAGATCATATGTCAAAGTATATTCACCAAAGAGCTCCATTCTCCTTCATCAACTTTTCTTTTTAACATGATTCTTTTCTGTGACTATAAGGGATTTTTCACCCCAAGCTATCTCGATCTGCTCTTCAAAAAGTCCACCTGCCAGGTGACAGCACTAATTAGATTAAGAATAAAAGAGGAAGTGAACAAAAAAGGTAGCAATCCTACTTAATTTTTTCCTCTAAACCTTATCTTTTCCTTTCCCTAACCCAAAGATTACCACACCTGTTGAAGTTTTCCTTATATAAAAGCTCTAATTCTGTAGCTCTTAATAAGATGACAAATCATACCTTGATTTTGATGAAACCACAAACAATGCAAAGACAAAGGGCTACTCATTTTGGTTTATGCTAGTTTAATAAAACAACAAGATAATTCTTTTTTATCACCTATTAAACACTTAAGGACATAGCTAATACACTAAAAAGAACTGAAACAATATTAATGCTGGAAATATAATACAGCGGAGTGGTAACAGTATAGGAGGTTCCTAGAGTGTGTGGAAGATAACTTCCTGACAGAGCTGGTGAATAAGCCAACTAGAAAATTTTTCCTGCTGGATCTCTTGTTTGTGAACAGAGAAAGACTGGCAGGTGATATGATAACTGGAGAACATCTTGGGCACAGTGATTATGAAATGATAGAGTTTTCAATTCTTGGAGAAGTAAGGAGAGGTGGAAGTAGAACTGTCACCTTGGCCTATTTACGACATCGGTTAAGAGATCCCCTTGGCAGGCAGTCCTGAAAGGTAAAAGAGTCTAGGAAAGAAAGAAATCCTCAAGGTGCCAGAGTAGGCCATCCCTATGTGCTGAAAGATGGGCAATAAGGGAAGACCACCAGCCTGGCTGCACAGAGAGCTTTGTCTGAAGCTTGGATGAAAAAAGAGAGTTTATGACCTTTGGAAAAAGAGGCAAGCAACTCAGGAGGGCTACAAGGATGTTGAGAGCTTATGCAGGCAGAAAAATAGAAGGGCCAAAGCCCAAGTAGAACTTAACCTAGCTGCCTCTGTAAAATACAATAAAAAATGTTTATATAAATATAGAACAAAAGGAGAGCTAAAGACAATCTCCATACTTTGATGGATAGGGGGAAAAACATAGAGACAAAGAATAAGGAAAAGGCTGAGGTAGTTAATGCCTTCTTTTCCTTGGTCTTTCTCAGTAAGACCAACTGTTCTTTGGGTACCCAGCCACCCAAGCTGGAAGACAGACAGAGAGCAGAATTGAAAGCACTAATCACCTAAGGGAAAATAGTGAGTTATCTGCTACACCACTTAGATACGTGAAAGTCGACAGGGTTGGACAGGATCCATGCAAAGGTACTGAGGGAGCTGGCAAAAGTGCTTACCAAGCCACTTTCCATCACGTACCAGTAGCTCTGGCTAACCAGGGAGGTCCTAGACAACTGGAAGTTAGCAAATGTGACACTCATATACAAGAAGGGGGAGCCCCTGGTGGTCTAGGGCTAAAGGCACTGCACTGTCACTGCAGAAACCCAGGTTCGATTCCCGGTCGGGGCCACTCCCCGGGCAGATGGAGCTCGTTAGCCCTGTAAGGCAATCCATCTACGTCCTGAGGACCTCGCTGCCACCGTCCAAGCGTGCTTGGCCCCGGCAGATGAACCTCAGAATTAAAGGGTGGGCTCAGTTCCGCGCACACTGTGTCTCACCTAAAAAATCCAATGCGCAGGCTGGAAGGTGGAAAGACCTTCCCCGGTTCTTCGTTCGCGAAGACTGGCCATTACATTACATTACATTTACATACAAGAAGGATTGAAAGAAGAATTTGGGGAATTACAGGCCTGTCAGTCTGATCTCAGTGACAGGGAAGGTCATAGGGTAGCTCATCTTGAGGGCTATCACACAGCATGTGCAGGACAATCACAGGATCAGGCCCCTTCAGCATGTGTGTATGAAAGTCAGGTCCTGTTTGACCAACCTGATCTCCTTCTGTGACAAGGTGACAAACTTTGTGGAGGGAAAGGCTGTGTATTTTGTCTACCTGGACTTTAGTAAAGTCTTTGATATCATTTCCCACAGCATTCTCTCTGGGAAAACTGGCTGCAGAGGTCTTTCAGAACTCAGTTATTCAGCAAGCCATTAAAAAAATACAGGAAAAAAGAACCATCAAGTGCACTTTCAGAGTATTTGTTATTTGAAGAGATTTATAAATAGTAGTAATACTTCATTTTGAAGCTATCCTCAAGAAAGGCCATTTAGTTGAACACTAGAATTCCACGTTAAAACAGGATTCAAGGAAACATAATGCTACATCCCAAGTGATGGTACCAAGTTAATGAGCTAAAATGCCTAAACCAATGTACAACAGAAAGGGTAAACTAGTCCTCCAGTTTTCCTTACCATTAGTGAAACTATAGCCCCCAATTGTACAATACAGGAACACTATTTTGTTAGGTTCACCAAAGTAAATGATTGACAGATATTTCCAAACTGTACAATTTGTAGCTTATGAAAAAGCTTATGAAGTTTATGTTTTATTTTGTTCAACTTGCAGACATACACATGGAAAATCTCTATCTGGATTTCAAACCATTTTTAGTTAAAATCATCATCTTCCTATTTAACTGATGCCAAAGCTTCCACTACTCAGATTTTAAGAATTTCGCAGACTTTCATTAGCAAACAGAAGAGTTTCTAATTAGAGCAGAACCAGTGAACACAGAAATATTAGGAAACCATTCAAATCAAAAAACAGAGCTCCATTACAACCTTATGGGAATTATGATTAATCTCTGCATAGCTACTCTTTGATCTGAATCTTTTTTCTCAGTTTATTTCAGGAAAACCTGTACCCTGTTATTTCTCAGGTAAACATAGAAGAAAACGGAAAAACAGGGTTTGAGATGTAGGCATCAAAACTTTTCCTTCCCTGAGTGATACACTTCATTGAGAAAAAATGCTACTGAATTTCTCTATGAATGGATCTGTGCAGGTAAAAGTTTCTGGCTGGAATATGGACTGTGCTGGACTAAGGACAGAAGCCTTACTGGCTTAAATGAGATGAGGGTTTTCCCCCTGGCATACACAAGATTTTAAGAGGATACTTTTGATTTAAAGACTTCTCATCTGGATGACAAATTTATCTAACTGATCTGACCTGGTGTTACAACTAAGAAAATGATCCAGCCGGGTCCTGTAAGTTATGCCGTAAACCCTGGATGTCCTGTAAACTCTCCAAAAAGCTGTATTTCCCCAGCAAATTTCCTTTCATTGCTTTTCCATGGAACACACCTCCCTGACATGACCAATGCATTCATTTAATTTTTGTTTTATATTTTATCTTCCAATTTATTTTGGTTAGAGGTAGAATTATTCTGTTAAAAAATGACCTGATCCTAGACGTAGTTTATTTAAATTTCAAAATGAAAAGCTTACTAAGAACAGATAAGATTGATTGCTCTTTCCAACTTAGCATAATTGTATTTCAGGTGAACATCAATTTACTTTAAAGGACACTTCTAAGTAGCAGGCTGCATCATACATAATTCATCAATCACAGCTGCCTGTAACATGATTTACTCAAGCAGATTTCAATAGAATAGAGGGAGTTGCATTGTTTTTTATGCTTTGGCTTGTTTGCTTTTAAATAGTTTACGAAATGCTCATTTGTGAATTATTGCTGAAAAGAGTTCATCCTTGGTAATCAGCATGTTGAATTTCTTTCTCTTTGTATAGAAATGTTACCTCTTTAAATTTCTTTTAAAAGGCAGAGTGAGTTTTCAAAACATCATTAAGGCAGAGAGCACTCCATGCTCATCAAAGGTGAAAATAAAGCTCAAGGATTTTGCTATGGAGGGAGGGATGGCAAAAGTATTTATCTGAAAAGCATTATTAGTTTTAGGGCCGTGTATTTTCTGGTTAGCTTGATATTATTTGTTAGACCAGCAGTCAAATGTAGGTGAAAAGAAATAGCTACTTTCTCAGCTAGTCCTTTACACAGTTGTCACATGGATAAAATGGCTTCCATGTGGCAATGTACACAAAACAGATACAAAGCCAAGTGCCAGTTAGAGTGCAATCACTTCATACACCAAGAAATATAGGTGAAACTGAGGGCACTGCAATGTATGTTACACTACTCAGCATCTTCCATCAAATTCAGTTTAGGGATGTGGTGGTGCCTTAGATGGTCCTGAAGTGAAGAAACATTTCCACAAACAGATACAAATATAGCTTCAAAAGAAAAAAGAGATCAAGAGAAAAGAGAAAAGACAGAAGTGCCTTTACTTACTTGTAAACCCATTTGAAACACAGAGTGACCCATAAAGTTAGCCAACATTCTAATTAGAGCTGCACCCTGTGGGAAATAATGGAGAAACAAAGAAGTTACCAGTTTTGAATGTCAATATAATGCAATAATAACAACCTGAACTAGGCATTTCCATCCAACAGTATCATTCTGGAAACCTGTGAATAATATAATCTTTATTTGTGCTGGAATGAAAAAGAGAGAGAGAAGATAATGCAAATGCTTACAAAGAAAAGTGAGGAAGCAAACTGATACTGTTAATATCCTGTCTCACATACTGAATAAAGCACAGGTCACAAAACACATTCTCTCCCCTGCTGGAGCATGGATGTGTCAGGTCTACAGCTTGTTGACCCCAGTCTTTCTATACACCTGCAGAAATGCCTTGTCTTATATGAGAGCAAAAAAATAATGTCCATACCAAATTCTACCTCAGTGATTATTCATAATATTTTAATCTCCATTACACTATTGTACATCAGGATTTAGTGATACTACTTTCCTTTGTAAAAGCCTTCAAGATCTGATGACTGGTAGTGAATAATTTCCATGAGAATTTTATAAGATGTGGATATATATATTTGACTTATTAATAGTCAGCGTATTTTCCAGACTGTCATGCAAAGAGGTAAGTACTTGTATAGCACTCTTTCTCTGCTTATACCAGTTCTTATCCCTTTGCCCCTTCAGGCAAAGCACAGAGATCTAAGAGACAGGTGATTCTAATTCTCAGTACTTACTGCAAGAAACAGACAGATACCTGCCAGAGTAGCTTTTCTTAAGGTGTCCTTCTTGTGTTTTTTCACTCTCTCTCAGAAACACAACTGCTGTGTATTTTCTCCCAGTTTAAGTGCTCTATTTCAAGCAGAAATACCTTTGCAGATCTGATTTGACAATTTAGCTATAATATCCCACTCTGCAATGTAATTTCAAGACAGTCTTCCAAGGCCATTAATCAAATGTTATACCTAGTACTGATCACGGCATGAGAGGGAGGACACTTGTGATTCAAAGGCTATAAGAAAACATGATGATAGAACTCTACAACCTCAGCAAGAGATAAAGGTTCAGGAATTAGGTTAACACACAATTAGAAAATAATAACAGAAAAAAAAAGAGAAACATTTTAGATTCAAAAATTCACAGATTCTAGAGCCAAGAGGACTATTACAACAATGTAATCTGCCCTCTGCATTAATAGAGGTCAAACAGTAATTTAGGCAAAAACTCTATGGCTTCTCTTTACACAACATCATCTATTTTAGGAAGAGTCAAGAATAGGAAAATGTTTCATAGCACTACATAATGTGTCATAACTAATATTTACTCTCACAGTGAAAATACATACTTTTTTATTAATTTGAATTTATCTAGCTTCACTAATTTGAGTATATCTAGTCTCAGCTTTCAAAACCAGACTTTGTCTTTTCCTGCTAGATTAAAGTTCAGTGTATTTGGGGGATTTAACAGTCCAATTTTCAGACCATTTTATACATGTTCCACTCATTTTTTTAATATAGTGACTATCTTTTAAGTACTGAAGGGATCATCTGTAATGAAAAAATTTGAAATAATGACAAATCAAAAATATTTGTAAATTATTAGTAAATTTTAAGAAAATACAGGTTCTTCAAATAGGCAACAATAACAAATACTATATAGTTAGTAAAGTAATGGAATAAAAAAAAAAATTGAGGAGATGTTTGCAGTTGCTTATAGGAATTGAATAGTGCGTAAACCAAAACACAGTGTTTGCATTACTAACATTAGGCTATGTTATGGTGCTATTTAATCTTACTGGAAGACCAATCATGTCTGGAACACACAGCAGAATAGAAAAATAACTCCTGTCAAAACAGATTATTACCTGAGCACACAAGACCATAGGTCAGGAAGCATTATTGCCCGTATTTTACTAGAGGAACAGAATGAGTAAAGTTCTCAGAGACATTTAAGAAGATAAACAGCAGATAAATGTTTAAGCAGATAAACAGAAGATTAAAAAATATAATAAACAGATAAATCCTATTTATCCTGTAAGTAATGGGCAGGGCAACCCAAAACATCTGTAGCAGAATTTAAAAAACACCATAAAACACATCAGCCAAAGTCCTTAACAAGAAGATATTTTTCCATTCATCACACAGCCCTTTTCCTACTCATTTATTAGTATTCCAGAATGCCCTTGTTTCTTTCTCACAGTTTAAATTTCACACAGTAGCAAAGGACATATATTTATATAGGCAACTTCACTCTACTGATTTCTGTGAAAAGTAAGCAAGTAAATACTCCCATATAATCTTGCCCACTGAGTCTTTTCTTCTATCGAGAGAAAAAGAACTAGCACATGTGAAGAAATCATAGAATTAGTCTTACAAGTAACATTTAGACACACATGGGAAGGACTATGGCTGGCCTTTACACAGAAAACAAAGTGAAAAAGCAAGCAAAGACAATAGAAGAGTCAATGCACAGAGGCAGGACTACTCTCTCAAGATAGACCCCTTTTCACAACTTCTTTAGAAGTACTTTCTACTAATTAATTAACTTTAGAAAACCCAGAAACCCCACTTATAGCTTCAGAATAATATGCTTGTCCCAGTTCTGCCATCTTCCCCGCTCAGGGAAAGCAAATGCTTTCTGAACTTATTTAAGGAAGGGAAGGGATTCTAAAGAAAAATGGGAAAACAAAAACCCAGAGACTCTCAAGAGGGGAAAAAGTGTCTGAGAGAGAAGAGAAACAGGAGCAAACACGGCCCTTGGCGTGGAGGGAAAAGAAATGGGGGGAAACCACTCATTTCAGCTTTCTTGCACTTTTGAGAGCAGGCAGAACGATGATACATTTCTACGCAAAGTAGAAGCAATCAATACATTCAGAGCTCTGCGAACAGAAGGATAGGACACAAACACTGGCACTCTGACTGGAGAGGAAGAGAAATAGGTTTGCAGGCAGAAGGGTAAAAAACAAGAGATATACAGAGTAACTGGCATAAAAGAGCTTGCTAAAGGAGGAGTTTGGAAGATGACCCTGACCAGAGGGTTATGGGAGATAAAGAAGGTATGTGCAGTAAGTTCAGTTATAGGCACAATGGAATACATAGCCTTGGGGTCATCTGAATGGCCCAATGTACTCGCATTTTCACTGCCTATCCACCTGCCAAGCAGTGAACTAGATGGAGTCCACAAACCTATGGTGCCATACCTTCAGAAAAATCACAACAAATCTCTCCTGTTGAGAGGATGTCCTTAGAAACCTGTCAGCATCACTCTCTGAACACCCTGGCGTGCAAGCCGTCTGCCCTCCACTTCACTCCCAAGGCCACTTCTCCTCTGCCAATATTTGTCCAACCGAGGAACAACATAGAGAGTCTTGAGAAACGAACTTGCCTCTCTTACTGGGCAGAATGGCTCTTTATTGATGATTTAAGCGCTTTCCTGCAGGTAGTGGATGAGTCAGTACCTTGTCAAGAGGTAAAGCACATTGGTTTAAGAGGTTTAGTGGAAAGCAATTCTTTCCTATTCAAAAAAACATACCTCTGTTCCTGCCAGTGTAAAATCTGACTCACCTTAAGCCTTTGTACCCTATCTTAATATGTCTACTCAGACAAATACACTGGTTATTCATTCAGTGATTAATGGCACTACCTGGCTCTGGTGAAGCACTACATTAGCAGATCTCAGAAGTGCTGTAAGACATTGATTTCAATATTCTGCTAATGAAAGGGAAACTGTGGCACACCATAGTGAAATCATTTGCCAAAGATCACCCAGCACGCTCCTTGAATAACCTACGACACAAATGAAGTTTCCTCAGACTCAGCACTGTGCCTCCACTGCCATAGGAAAGGAAGGTAGAACATACTGGCTACTCCAGGGAAATTAAGTGCACGCAGAGCCCTTTTCTGCATAGTGCTCTTGGGGAAAGGCATGCTCCTGGGCAATGAGCCAGCAGTGACTGAAGGGATGGAAGCTTATGCTCTTTCTTTCCCTGAAGCAACTTGACACTCGCACCATGGTAACATAACAAAAATTAGGGGTAAAATTCCTTTATATGTAAGCTGAACATGTCTTTGAAATCTACAAAATTCAGAAACAGTTCAGGTATTCAGTTTAATTTTCTCCATGGCATCATAAAATAATGTGATTGAAACTTGACTTCAGATTAGTTGTAACTCATTTTTAAAGACCAACTCCTCCTCACTACAGATCACAATTACTGTACCTGTGACTACAGTTACTTTAGTCCTTTAGACTTCCCTTACAGTCAATGGGCTGCACTTTATCTAATCTTAAAGTAGACCTCAGATCAGAAAAAGCACCCATCTCTTGTAATTCACACCAAAAGTAGCCTTGACTGACTATCTCATATGTACACACTGCACTGCAGACATCTAAAGTGCACTGTCAAAAAAGACCATACAGCGACTGGTTCCCCACTTTGTGCAGGGAAGAGAATTTCTGAATTATGAAGATACAAAACTGGTGTGACACCATCCTTTTGTATATACACAGACAAATAACATGTATTTTGCTTTATTCTACATGTCATACTTATATATAAGAAGACCAGCGAAGGTACGTGTTCAACAGAAGGCCCTGAAGAGAGGGCAGAGTGCTTGCTAGCTGAAAGTGGATGCTCTATACTGAGCAGACAGCAAAGAAAAGCACTTGAAATAAAGAATTGGTGAAGAAGTTGCAGTGAAGGGAACAAGATAAAAATAAGCAAACCAGCACATAAGGTTACACAGAAGGTAGCAGGTACAGACAAGGGGCCGCATATGAAGAGATACGAATAAGCTGGAAACTCATTCACCATTATTCTTTGAAGAACAAAAAATTATGTCAGTATTCTAAAAAGCTCTCAAGAGAGAAAAATACCAGCAACAAAACAGAAAGCATGAACTACAGGTCACTCTTGTAAGGGCGAAATAACTGATTATTTTGTAAATGCGTTCGAGTGGGTGAAGGAAAAGAGATCATAAAAGGCTGACCCAGAAAAAGCATAGCTCTTTCATCCTCCTTCCCACCAAAACTTTTCATTTTTTTCC